TTGGGGTCGATGGACAAAAATTCGCATAGCGGGTGGAAAAAAGAATTTAGAACAATTCTAACTGCAATTTTGTAGTGAGGATAGATAGTACTTTCGATGATAGGAATATAAAAGAAATCTATTTTTCGAGCCCAGATCGAGTGGCACGCTGTTACAGAGACGCCCTCTTAAATCATCAAACAATACTCACATAACTGTCATATTTTGGTACTTTTATTAATTATTATTAAGGTTTTAAATTTTTGCAGCTCATGCTGGCCTGCAGCTAACAGTGTGTCTATTAATAATAAATAATAATAAATAATCTGTTGATGGTTTGATTGACAGGTGATGATGCCAGCATCCTTAACCTGTAACTAATCTAACCACCATGATGAAAATAAAATGTCATTAGTTTAACCAAAACGGGCATAACTGTGTTAAGTTATAGTACAGTAATCATTCTCAAAATAAATTTATTGCACACACTTTTGTTCGTTTGTGTCATAGTTCACTGACGACTTATTTTTTTAAATTCTTTCATAATATTAAGCAAAGGTTGCAAGAATCTTTGTAAGTAGGTGCCATTACTCTCACAATGTAAAAAGACCTTTTGACAAGAGATAGAACTTAATACATATTTTTCTTAAAGTAGTTTCAAAACAAATTTCTCTGGGGACCCCTATTAACTATGCTCATTGTAACAACCGGGCTCATGAAACTTGTTTTAAATTGCTACAGCAATCTACATCCAAATTTCCAGGAAAAATGGTCTTTGTTTTGCCACACATTTTCACAGTCATTTATTATCTTCTCAATGTTAATTTTCTAGATTAAGTTAAGTGGAAAATTTCAAGGAGTTAAGTACCAAAAATATACCTAGTGCTAAGCTAAGTATATTTTTATAAACTGTTTACAAAGTCCATAACTTTAAATGTACTTTCTCTGTTGCTAAGTTAGGTGTTTGACTGAATTTTAGAATTAGTATTTATGAATCAAACCAAGGTTGAAGTTACAGTGAAGTACAAAATGTTTTTCATTGTTCTGCCCATGAGACTTATGCTCCTTAAATTCTTTGCCTTTCAATGTATTTTTTCAATGTTTTATTCTTCATTATTTACAAGATTTAACAAAAATTCAATACATTACCTACATATAACATATGATAAAACTTTCTATAAATACTTTATCTTAATTATTAAATGATAAGATTAAAAATGTCAAATATATTAATAGATATTACCACAAAAGTTATACAAGTTCATTTAGAAATTTTGTGCAAGAAAATATAGTGTGGAACTATGAGAAAAAATTGTAATGTTGTTCATGACTGACTTTAAGTCTGATACATTTAACCAACCATATTATGACAGGACTCTTAATAGAAACAGCACATGGAAGTTGTCTGTAATATTTCTTTATAAAATGTTCTTAAAGTTTCCAACTTGTTTAGTTCTAGTGCCGCTTACAGAAGCCCAGTTGCCATATTTATAGTTTCATAAGGCAAACATTATTATCTACTATGGTACAGTTTTGATGGATTTGGTTCATCAGGTCATCTTGTAGCATCTTCAAAGTGTCTCGAATCTGTGTAATGTAACAATTGGGGTTGCATAATGGTAAATACTGAGCAAAAAACTGAGGGAAAAAGCTGGAGAATTGCCGATTGTCGTGACAATGGTAAATTAAAATGAATTGATTGAACCATGGATTTATGAATCTTAGTATTCAGAAGTTTAAGAACTTACCTGGGTAATGGCATCTATGTTAGCAGATACTATTTTCTTTACTCTGTAGAGAAACAAAGGTTAATTCAAAAATCTAATAAGAAACCCTGACTCATTAATGATGTGCAAGTGATGCAACACCAAGTCTTTAACTACATCTGAACTGAACTTGATGCACATCATTGATACAGTACCCTGGGTGCCAGATATTCCTCGTCGTTACCATTTTTGTTTGTTGTTTTCCACCCTTTCACTCCTTGACGTTCGTCGCTTTGTAACTCCACTTTTCATCCTTTCGTGACACGACTAAAGAACTTCTGGAATCCAGGGTATTGATACAGTTAATGCAACTATCAATTGAACTAACCTCAACACTTCTGCATCATACACTTCTTTTCTTAGCTTTAAGATCTGCTGGATTGACTGTTGGCTACTGAGAAACAAAGGATTTAAGAACTTCATATTAAGACATTCTTTTTTTCCTTCATTCATAGCTCTATAAATAAATCAGATTAGATTTACAACAGCTGTAATGTGATATAAGTGGTTGTACAAGGGAATGATGATACTTACATGTAAGCCTTAGTAGGAGTACGCGGGGCAAAGACTTTAGGTTCAAGGACAGACAGACGGTACAGTAGAAATGCACTACAGCACATCAGAAACATGATTCTAAGAATAAAATATATAGTAATGATGAGTCACTGCATTCAATAGCTTATACAAAAACTTTTCCACTTCCTCTCCTAATATTTTTGTCATTTACTTACATTATTGCGGCCACCAAAATGAAGAGTTGCTCCTTTGACAACCTTGAATTAAAAGAATTTAAACCTCAGAATGTGAAACTGTAAAGTATGATGATAGAATAAAAGATCACTGCATAAGTGCAGTTATTTAATGTCACTATAGCTTCTGTAAGTACATACCTTTTGATTAACCTGAGGCCAACTTGAAAATATGAATACAACATCTCTGCCATGGATGCAATGCATACTGCAATACTTGCTGAAATATATTCAAAATAGTAAAAAATGTTAGAAGAGTTCTAGACTTAATGATTATAAAGCTGCATGCATTTCTCTTAAGTATTATCTCTTTCTTTACTGATGGTTGAGATGGTAAATAATTTGATTTAACCCATGATTTGAGAAACTATGACTATCTGTTATAGCCTACTATGATATGTTAACCATTCTGCATCTACCTCTAATACCCTCAAGAGGTCCATAGCTTACCAAATGTCGGTAGTTTTGAAGAACTGCATTGTACTTCTTCCTGTAAACTCTTGTCAAATGCAATCAGTTTTTGTTCATCAGAGTCAAGCTCTGTAACCAGTATTGCAGCTGGCTGACCTTCAAAGAATCCACTGTCTGCACTTAACTTGCTTTCTACATCTGTAAAAACAATATGATCAAATAGTCACACAACTACAGTAACGCATAGGAAACTCCTTTCTGTTGTGGCAGCCATGTTTTGTTAGCAGAAGCGATATATTAATGCATCAGTAGCTTTGCATTTTTGTTGATTTAGGATAACTTAACCTAGGCCAGACTTTAACATTTTTTTGAATACAGTGTAACCCTGTCTTACAGACACCCGCTTAATACAGACACCCAGATTTTACATTATTATAGTCTTGCATTTCTTGACCTAATATCCATGCATACATTTCTATTAAATTTACCCACTTAATACAGACACATGGCTAATAAGGCTACTTTGCCCTTTCCCTTTGGTGGCCATATTATTATTGTTTTATTTCTTTCTTTGGTAATCTTCAGTGTTTTACCTCTTAGTCAGTAATTGAGTAATGCTGAGGCATAGTTATTTCCACAGCACATAAAAGGTTTACTTCCGTTTATCTAAGATTGAGGCAAAACTTACCTTGAGCATTTGAAATCTCATTTTCATCATCGTTCTCAATCACATCATGAAAAGGCAAGTTCTCTAGTAATGATTCTTCTGATGGTTCCTGATTAAAAGTAGATTGTGTCAGTAAATCATTGAGGGTTGCCTTTCTTCTTGGCTCATTGCCCAAATGCGTACTTTGATCTCTCGCCTTATTTACACATGTATTACAAATTAGATAAATTATGAGAATATATTTCATAACAGAATTGCATAATGTGAAAGAGTGACCAAGTAAAGAATATAAACAAAAACAGGGCCCTAGCATGCCTTGAAAAACTGGGGTGGGGGGGGGGGGGGGGGGGGGGGGGGGGGGGGTGGTGTCACAACGTCACTTCACAACACGTGATCCCAAAAAATAATGAACTAGCATTCCCATGATCTGAACAAAAAATGCATAAAAGGGCAATTACTAATTGAAAGTTGTTTTTTTTTTGCAACTTCCAACGTTTAGTGATGTTATCAGCAATATTGTTGTCCTTTGTTTGTTTTCTGGGAGAGCATGTGCCATGCCAGCCCCTATAGGCGGTATGACCCTAAAAAAGGAAACGGCAACGTGTGTGTGACTGTAGAATTTGTAAAAAACGTTTGTGTTGTAAACACAAGGTTAGAAGCTTATGCATCATTGTCACTGTTAGCCTGCATCCAAATTGGGCCAATTTGGGCCACTAAGCAGGCTATGTCACTGTAACAAAACCCATGAAAGCTTCTGAAGCGCAGCAGAGTACATAAAGAGTATTACATGGACCTACCCTGTTGACTGTACTGCTAACACCATTAGGTATTGAACTCTGCATTAGAAACAAAAACATAAAATAAGCATGACTGATTAGCAAGTCATCAACATTGCTGCTGTAAAACAAATGCTTGTTAATTTACCTGAGGTTTTTCACTAATGTCTTTCCATACTTTAATTAATAGTTTATAAACTGTTTCTCTTGATAAAAAAGATGAAAGAAAATGCTGAAATGAAAATGAAAAAAACGAAATTATGTTCTGTTTTCTGATATTTTTCATTATTCATTTACATATTTTTACATTACCTTTTCATCAGTTGTAGTTATAAGTATAGCATTAGGGACAACATAGGCTGTCTTTTCTCTTGTTATCGACCTTATTTTTCTGCAATCAATTGTTACCTGAAGATCCAAAAGTAGTTGCATAGTTAGTACAGCATAAAATTTCTTCATATTTTTTCTTTTTTTCTTCACTTACTACAGTCAACTCTCGTTACAGCGGACACCCTCGGGACTGTCACTTCATGTCCGTAATAGCGAGCGACCACAATAGCGAAAATTTATTACAGTCATTTCTTTGTCAATATTTTTGTCTGGGATTTTTCTCCTGTCCATAATAGCAAGGCGTCCGTAATATCAGGGTGTCCGCAAGGCAAGAGTTGACTGTACCTCCAACTCCTACAAAAAATCATATTCTCAAGAGAATGACAAATGGTCTGAAATAGAAAAATTTTCCCCTGAGGAAAAAGGGTGTATTGCATCCATGCATAAGATGTGGAGGGTTTATTGCACAAGTTATAAAAGCTATAAGCATTGTATGTTGTTGAAACATCAAATCAACCACAGACACACATTTGATAAAATCAATAGAAAGAGAAACCAGAAATTACCTGTGTTTCCCAACCAAATATATTGGAATAAAAGCAGAACCATCCTTGGCTGATAAAAAGCCTCCCTTGAAGCAGAATCTCACGGCTCAATGCACAGGAAAAATCTGGGGAAACGAAAACAAACTAAAATTATAAAGGGAAAGAAAAATGTATGAGAAATCCCCAAGACTTGCATATAATTATTTATTGTGAGCAGTCTAATTTCACTGGAGCTAGGTTTTGTGAATAAACTGGCCTGGCATAAATCAATAGAATAATATAATACTTGAATCCTCACTGTTAATAGGAAATTGGTCCTTTGGAACATGCTTGAAAAGATGATGAAATTCATCATACGGTGTCCGAGATGACAGCAAGGTCTGTGAACATGACAACAATATTATGATTTAGTTATAAGAAGGGTGTTCATTAATCAAGGAATTGGAGAATGACCTTCAATTATTATTATTACTCTCCGGCTAGTTTATGATCTTCTCCCATTATTTTGAAACCCTTAATTWAAAAAATGATGTTAAATTGCCCCCTATAATTAGGAGAGTTCTATGATATTGGAAGTAGCAATAAGAATAATATTTATATTAACTGTAGACTTCCTCAATCTTTGGAAAATGTCATCTCACTAATCCTTGCATATCATTGTGATTCATTATAAGACAAAGGCTGTGCATGTCAGCTCATGTTATTATGAAAACCATTTCTATAGGATATATTGTCCTAATGCTGTTAGGGGGGAAATATTTGATGAATATTCTCAAAATATATTAAGTCATTGATTTGAGCAAAATAATACCAGAATCTGGAGCCATGATTACACTTCTTAATTCATTACTAAGTTAATATATTTTTCAAGCTGCCATCACGTAATTCCTTATGCCAATGTTTCTTCATCCATACTCAGAACCCTTTTCATTGCTCTTCATTAATATTAATCAAAGTAAGCTGTTTGAGCAACCTTTTCACTCAGTTATTGTTTCAAAAACTATGCAGGAGAGTTGGCTGTGGATGTGTTATGGGAACCACTTATCTGACAATCATTAATATTATATGCAAGTTGTTGCGAAGAAAAAATCATTTGAAGCAACCATTTCACTGTCACTCTTCACAGTGTTCAGATTATGCAAAAGAATTACTATATCTTAAGGGAAACCGTTGCGATTATGCTTTTAAAATAAGTTAAAGTTATTTTAAATATAAGTACCACATGCTGCAATGCAATATAACTAACAAAACTAAGAAAAATATAATTAATGTAAAGCTTATAATAACAATTTTCATCTAAAATTTAGTTGGCTCTGCAAAACAACCTACTTCAAATTTAGGTTTTTTGCTTTCAAATTAAAGTTTGTGATTTTCCTCCCACTAGCTCCCATTAGCATATATCAGAAGGGGAAAAAATGAAAATGCAAAAGATTGTATTTCATTGGTTGTACGTGTCATCTTCAATTATGATAAAAATTACTTTAATTTGAGCACCATGAAAGGAAGTATTAACTTGCACTCCATCATAATATAGCTGACATATTATTTATATTAACGATACTGATATTAGCCATGTGGAAATTATAATATTAATACTTGGTTTGCAGCTTAAAACCTTTATTTTATTTGAGAAAAATGTGTCACTCTATAGTGTTAATATGTGCAAAATATAATTATGTACTCGGTACAGAGTATAATTATAGACAAAAAAAGCTTAATAAGCTGCTCTGTAAGTACCTCATATTATCTTAGTCATAGTTTACCACCAATCAATCTTTTCAGAAGAGATAACTAGCTAAAAACTAGTGTGAGCTGCGTCGGTGTTTCTAATGAAACAGTAATGATAAAAGGGTAAATTTTACACTGTGAAAAGATGAAAAAATTTCTGACGTTTCGGACGCTAGTCCTTCGTCAAGTAAAAGAATATTTTTCTGATATTATCTTGCCCTGGATAAATAATTTTTGATTGTCAAAAAAAAGTTTAATTGATTTAAATATTGCAAGAACAAGCTGACTGGTAGTTAATTTTCTTAAGAAGTGAAGATTAGAATATTTTCACTAGTATCTTTTTGGGTCATTATACAGCTTGGAGGATTATTTTATTTGATAACTTTGAAAAATACCTGAGGTATAATTTGTAAATGTAGTTACTAAATTACTTAAACTTCATATCGATTCTACAAACCAATCTTATTGCAAAGCTAAATATTACAACTGAATATCTACATCTTGCGATTTTGTGTGAATTTATGTTATGCAATGAGGATGCATTATACATGCATATTAGCTACATAGAAAAATTAACTAAGGTAATTTAGAAGAACTCAATCAGCATACCAGTATCTTCCTATTTTTTTAATTTAAAAATTTGACAAATTTAGTCAAAACTTTATTTAATTGATTTCAGGTAATAAATAGTTCAATTTTATTGTAGAAAGAATAATTTTTTGAAGCCACATTTTTGCTGATGAATGAAATTCTGAATTTTCTAAATCTTTTTACATCTTTTGTGGGATGATTGATAATTGATTATTTGAACTGCAATGTCTAGTTCTCTTGATATAATATTTTTTGTAGTTGCATTTTTTCAACTAAACTAACAGATAATGAATTAAATTTTCTATACATTATATTTCTACATTTCCTGTAATGTTCAATATCATATGATAAAGATTTGAATGTCACCAAGTGGGATAGATAGAATTTATTATACTTCTGAAATTTCAAGAATGAAATGGTCAAGAAATTTCTCCTCTCATCCTGAACTGCTACTTGCAATGGATATTATTCTATCTGCTGCAGCTATAGCTATCATTTGAGAGCTAACACTATTTTATATTGATGTGGTTTGACTGAGCTCAACAAAACTATGGATAAAATATAGTCTGAGGATAATATTTTATATCAAATTATATTTGTTTAAAAAATTTTGAGTTTTAGAGAATAATTCATATGAAATTTTTCCCATCAATAAAACCCCAGTACTTCATATTCATGAAGTGCAAACTCCCTTCTCAAGTGATGTTGTCAAAAATCTCTTACCAATTTTAGGAATGTCTGTGAAGCACGTCTGCGTACACTTTTTGAAGATTGGTAGGAATCATCCTTAGATTTGACAAGCCCATGCCTCTTGCGGGATTTCCTTCTAGTCTGACTCATATCTGATTACAACTAGTATTGCCTTATAATCATTCATTGCCTCTGTCATCTTATAGCCAACATTTTATGTATTTTCCTGTGTATTGGTGACCATAGTTTTTACCACAACAGTCTTCTAATTTTGAACTTCTATGGTAAACTGGTTACATATAATATTCTGACCACCATATCGAAACAACGCTTTTTATTGGTCCTAATGACTGCCAGGTGGATTTCCCATTCTTCAGCCCCTTCTGCATAATGAAGCAAGACTTCTAAATCATAAATAATAAAGCTGCAATCATGCTAAGGCTTTTATATGTCCTAGAATTACAATACCACTTCACTTTGAAGTATAGCTTCTTTATCATATCTATCTAAAGAAGTCAAAAGCATGGGAAAACTGATGGATTATTGACATATTATTGTCTTGAACATTGGATGTATGAGAAGGAAATAAAACTTGAGATATGTTCAACAAACATCTTTTCTGCACAAATTAATATATAGACATGCAAAAAAAAATGCAAACTTAAAAGTAGAAAATCTAGAACTTTCTTAAAATGTGATTTGAATTTTTTTCATGGCATTTGTCCTAGAACAAAATCCTCTTTTTTCCCCATAAGATTTATATTTTATTTTTGTTTGAAAATTGTATTTGATTTTGGGAAAAATAACTGTCGCTGTGGATTGCTTCTGCTAGCATTAGTACTATATGTTTATAAGGATTGTTTGAATTCAAAGCTAAAGACAGGAAGGAAGAATGTTTTTGATGTATCACAGTTATATCCTGTGTAGTAGCAGTGTAGTGTATTGTCTTGTATTATGGTTGAAATCAGGGTCTAAATGTGAAGCAGGTGTTAAATTTTATTTCTTCATTAATTATGCATGAACAACAAAATTTTACTGCCAACCAGTAAAACCTGACACATTTATAATACTTGTTTTGAATATATTGCTCAGATATTATTGAACTATTTTGAAAGTGGAAAGGTTTGACATGTCTGTCCTTCAAATTCCGGCATAAAAGCCTGCAAGGATGATAAATGCTGTCTTATCTATCTGTACATAAAATCTCCTGTGAAAATACTACATTAACCAATCAAGGCTTTAGATTTTATTTATTTATTATTTTTTTCATTTTCTTAAATATTTGGTTTCAATATTGAATTGCCGAAATAATTTCTAAAGCAATCATTATCTTGATACTTTCTTGAAAGGTTTTTATAATATTGTGCATAAAATATTTCTTATTTCTTATCCAAGATAACTTTTACAGTTATAAATCATTGACCCTCAAATGGCTTCCTAGTGTTCTCATTCATCCCATCCATTCACAAAGTATATATATGGTATGTCATTTCTTTGTCCCCCAAATGGCTTCCTAGTGTTCTCATTCATCCCATCCGTTTACAAAGTATAGTTATAATATGTCATTCTTTGACCCTCAAATGGCTTCCCTGTGTTCTCGTTCATCCAATCCATTTACAAAGTATAGTTATAGTTTAACATTCTTTGACACAAAACTTAGGCTCCTTCAGAAAAAATAAAAGTCTCACCTTAATAAATCTATACTGCTTTTCTGATCTAAATGATAACTGTAACAAAGAAAAGAAGAAAAAATTGTAACAAATTTGTCAAGATCAAAGCCATTCTATATAATAATGTATATAGAAATAACCCTATCCCTTCTATGAACAAATAAAGCAAAAATATAATAAATCAAGTCAATTAAGTTAGCTAGGTCCAGTTTCAACTTCAAATCTGTTACGTGCCAAATAGGACGTTTGCATGATGGCGTCATTTGACTGTCATTTGACTCCCACTACCAAGATGCTTCGCAAATTTTCTTTCTTATGTAAATTTGTATTCCCTCATGAGAATAGTAAGACAATTGGTGCTAATTAACTGAACAAAAGAAAGTGTGCAAGGGAGTCTGGTAGTAGAGGTCAATAACGCCATTGTGCAAATTTCCTTACAATGACATTTGCATTAGACTTGGAACATGTGAAAGTTGATGCCCAGACTGGGCCAATAGTTACATTCAAACAAATGATCAATAAATAGTTCAATTGTTTTTTAAAGTGTAACTGCTGTTGACAATCTGACATCTCCATGGTAACATGTTATAGGTTTCAGCAGATGACAGCAGGGGAGATAATAATTATTACCTGAGAAGAGCATTTGATTGCTAAATCCTCTGAACGTCCTTGTGCTGCAGATGAAGATTCTCTGTGGGTTATGGAAAAAATTAATCATCATACTGCTTGCAAACAAATATATTTTCCTTATATTTCTTATAACAGCATTTATTTTTACTTTTTATTTTTTTATTTTTTGCTTTTTGCTTTTTTTCAATGTTTTTTTTAATTTATTTTTTCCTGTTTTCTTTTTTTCCTTTTTTTTTCTATTTTCCAAAACTGTTAATATGATATGTGAGGAATTACTAGGTCGATCTAAGTGGTTATGGGAAAACTCAGTTAAATAACGTTTCAAATATTTTTTCTTTTCTTCATTTTTATACTGACCTATTAACTCGTCCTCGAAAATCTACTTCAGGAATCGATTCCTTCACCTCTTCCGCGAATCTAAAAACAGAGTTTAGTGGAAAATTATAACAAAATGCAATCGAAACTGTCAAATCTCCACTCTTACTTCATCTTTGGACAAACAAAGTACTTACGTTTCAAATTCTGTGATGTAACTGCTAAGGGAACTTGTTTCATTGTATTCTGTGCCTTCTGCTTGAGCAAAGGACATTTCCTTTGTAGATACCAAAGTGGATGGTAAAGGTATTAGGTCAATATTTCCTAAGATTACAAAAAATGAAAAATCCACACTTAAAAATTGACCATTCAACTGTCGGTACTTCGCCTACTTTTCAAACAATCTTTTGAATTTTTAAGAATTAATAAATTGAAAACCTTTTTGAAGCTTTCTTTTTTTCTTTATACACTTTCGATTAAGTATTCGTTTTCCCATTACACATATTTTCATTTTCGATCTCAAATCGCATCTGTAATGAGAGTTATATAGTCCTCCAAATAAATGCAAGATGTGTCATTTCAAAAGTGAAAAAAGAAAATTCTACGATGTTTTTTAGAAAAGATTTTGTCCTAGCCGTAAAAATGATTTATTTGAATATGCCGTCATAATTTTTTGGGGGGGAAGAATTTCTAGAAATAAATACAGCCTCATTTTTGTCCAGTAAAAGTGTTGGATCTTTATCGTACGATGTGATCTCACTTAATTCAGCTGGTCGATGAGCTACCGGCCTCCACTCTACCGAGGGTATTCTACGTGTTAGACCTCAATTCTTGTTGATTAATTATCTAGTGACATTACTATGAACTTCAATCCACATAAACTGAAAGATAGAGGATTAGAAAAAGAAATCCCCCTGGGGACTAAAGAACAATTTACTAGTGTTTTATTCAGTGCACTTTCATACGCCCTTCCTTATTAAAACAGGTAAAACAGAACTCTTTACAATAATTTCGGTTCTTTTTTCCTCAAAGACCGAAAACCCTGAACTCTTTTATTCGTTTCAAAAGTCTTAAATTAACATAAAACCAAGACAAGACGATAAGAAAGAAAAGGTAAAACTTGCTCGAAGAAGGGAATTCCAAGCTGCCACAAAAAGCGTGTCTAAATATCACAGAATTACATTCGATAGTATCACTTAAATACATCTTATTTCACACCTATCTTCTCTTACCTTATTCTTTCTTGTATGTCCAAAGAATCAACAGAGAAATGAAGAAGAATAACAAGGAGTTTCATCGTTGAACTGAAAGTAAAAAGCCAGGTAAAAGGAGACCAAGCGCAGTTTGTTTATTCAATGACTAGACTTGTCAAACGTGCGCTAACGCTGATTGGTTGACTTTTGACAATCTCTTTACGCAGGAAACCCATGTCACTGGATTGTTTATTCATCCATATTTTCATTTTCAATCGTATTAAAATTCATTAGAAATAATCTTGGAAAATTTTTTGCGATCTCTTTTTTTTTTTTACGTTCTATTACCTTTCTATTCACATTTATGAATTCAAAGAATAAATTTAATTTTAAAATTTCTCAGATACCAGATGACAGTTTTTTTATTTGAATATCGTATTCCGGAAATTGTTTTCCACATACGACGTCAATAACGAGGTGAAAAACAAATGAAAATGAAAAATGTGTATGTAATAGTCAACTGTAATGACATCAAGATATAACTAGCTAAAAACTGGTGTGAGCTGCGTCGGTGTTTCTAATGAAACAGTAATGATGAAAAGGTAAATTTTACACCGTGTAAAGATGAAAAAACTTACTGACGTCTCGGACGCTAGTCCTTCGTCGGAGTCACTCCGACGAAGGACTAGCGTCCGAAACGTCAGTAAGTTTTTTCATCTTTTCACGGTGTATAATTTACCTTTTCATTATTACTGTAATGACATCAGCTAAGACCAGCTGTAACTTTGTTTGCGGTATGCGTACTAAACTTTTGCGCATTAGTAGTTACCAGTCTATCTCGTCTTTTTCTTTGTTGACAATAAGTTGTTCAACTAAACATTTATCTTAACAGAAAAAACGTATTTAAAAAAATATATACTGCATGAATTCTTTTACTTATGTATCAAGCAGGCTTCAAGGAGATTGAGGATTATCTAAAGAAAGCCATTGAAGGTGGATTCACAACAGTTAACTTAAGTCACAGACAACTTACAATCCTTCCAGACTCCTTGCAAAAGTTGCACAAAGTCAGAATCCTGCTCCTAAACGACAACAGGATCATCATGCCTCCTGCAGAACTTGTGCATTTGACTAATCTACGAGAATTATTGTTAGATCACAACCAACTGACTCTTCTACCAAGCGGTTTTGGAAAACTTGTGAATTTAAGAGTTTTGTGTTTGAGCCATAACCATCTTGGATTCCTGCCCTCGGAAATTGGTGATTTACAATGTTTAGAGGAACTGTGGATTGTTAACACCCAATTGATGTCTTTACCAAATGAAATATGTAAACTGGAATCCTTAAAAAAACTTGGTGCTGGACGTAATAGTATTTCCACTTTACCTGAAAAGATATCTAACTTATTTCACCTGAAATGGCTTGGCTTGAACAGCAACCAGTTATCTGACCTACCCAGTCATTTTAACAAACTTCCAGAGCTTGCGCATATTGATCTTGAAAAAAACCACTTCAATAAATTCCCAGAATCTCTGTTTGGACTACATTCCCTCGAAGTTATAAATCTGAAGTCTAATCAGCTGATGTCTATTCCTAAAAATATAGTAAAGACATTGCCAAAGCTGTGTAAAGTAGATTTAAGAGAGAATGATATTTATCTGTTACCCAAAGAACTGGAAAAACTGAGGATTTTTGTCATTGGAAAAGGTACTGGTGCATGTGAAGACCTTGAAGCTGATGATAGTTTAGTTGTAACTGTGAGAAAAAGACAGCGACGAAAATGGAATCAAGGACTATAATAATATTACACTATGATATTGCATTTTAAATAAAATGCTTAAATGAAAAGATTATGTCTAAAATAATATTTTTTCTCCAAATTAGTATTTATAAAAGAACTTTTTAAGATGTTAGTTTACTCGTCAGGGACAACTTTTTTTTTTTTTGATGTACACATTGTAATACTTTATTACTGAGATAAGCTCTAAATTTATGAGGAAATTGAAAAATATTTAGTAGACTATATTAGTAAAATAATAACAAATATTATTCTATATTTTGTAATATCACAGTGATTGTTTTTAACCCTCCTCGCCTGGAGACAGGTCAAAGGATCCGCGCGTGCGCAGTGTCTATCTGTCACTAGAGTCAAACAGGCAAGACAAGTTGAAGGGACGTTTGTCTGAAGTTATTTTTACGGTTTTTTGGTCAGGAATATTTTCAAATGTTTTGCATTCTCTCAAGTACCTCGAACCATAAGCAGAAAGCCATCTGATGAAGGAGCTAGCTGCGTGGTGCACTCAAGGTTAAAGCTGCAATGACCGCCAAACAAGACCATGCTATTCAGCTTCAAGTAAAGCTTGAGTTTGGTCACAATGCTTCTTGTAGGAAAAAACCAACTCCTGAAGGTTTCACTCATGACTGGGCTGTCTTCGTTAGAGGACCCGATAATAAGGATATCTCTCACTTTGTAGATAAAGTGGTGTTTCATTTGCATGAAAGTTTTCCAAAACCAAAGAGAGGTAAGCTTAAGTGCGAATAATCGCCACACGATATTCAATCTCGCAAAATTGCTTCGTGTGTCTATAAAAACCGTCAATTAAACACCAGAAATGAAAGAAAGCTTAGCGCTTTTGATGGTCATTTGACTTTCTTTGTGAAGCATAAAGCAATTTAAAGCCAACATAGAGGATAACTTGATTATGATATCCGCTCTAGTCATTTAGATGAATTATCGACATAGTATGTGAAGTTGATCAAATGTGGCTCGCTTTGAATCGGTTAACAAAAAAATACACTGCTGGTACTTCTACCACAAATACAATCAAAAGTAACACTGCTGGATCCTTTATATTCACACATATTAGGATCGTAATATTACGGTATTTAATCTAGACGATTTTCCTGTTTTGTTATAATTTGTCGTAAGATAAATGGTTTAACAGAAATGTAAAGTGATTGAAGGATACACGGACTTGTGGAGGCCTGTCTTTATTTACTGGTAAATTTAGCACATTATCGCCTGGTTTTTACTATCAAACCTAATTTACTACATTCATCATCCTTTAAACCTAATTCATCGACAAAATGTAAAAAGGATTATGTAAGTTTCACTTAATTATATGTTCGATTTTGAAGGACTTTATCGCGTATTATGCTAACAGGGGATTTTGCTTGAATTCAATACTCTTTCGCTTTGATGGCTTTGTTTACATAGGTTTATCTGACAAACTATTCGATCCTTTGAAAATAAACTACAGTTTTCAACACTAGTCTATATTATTATTCTCTATATTCCTGTTATGTTTATTATTTCTTGAAAAATAAATATTTTTCTTTTCATTGATTTTCTGCTAAAAACTTAGTATCTTACTTGCTATTTTTATACCTGTATATATTTGCTATTATATCACTGGTTAACATTCGCACGAAGAAGGCAAAATATATAAAGAGCGTATACAGTGTATAATGATACTTCAATACACCGGAATCAAAATATTTGATAATCATGAGTGTGGTTTGTTATCTTTATTTAGATTCTTCAAATGACTTTCAACATTTTGATATAAGTATATAGGAAGCACACTGTACTGATAGTACAACAATAATACAAAATGCTGTAGCATTCAAAGATATTTTTCAATGTTATTGTGTAAATAATTAATGAAACTGTTTAGTTTTAGCTAAGGTAAGATATTATATTATGATACAGTATTGTTTCCCACTCAAACATAAACTGCCCCATTTCTAAATAGTTGGATTATAATTCCTACTGTCTAACTTTTTACATGGTTACAACTTTCATACAATATTTTTATTTCTATCGCAGTATTTAAAGATCCTCCTTACAGAATAGAAGAGCATGGATATGGGAGCTTCAACCTTCCTATCGATGTTTACTTCAAGAACAAAGAAGAACCAAAGAAAGTCAGGATTAACTATGATTTGTTTCTACCTGCTATGGGTCTGCCAGCTATCGATAATATCCGCAGTGAAGCTCTTAAATTTATCAACCCTCCTGAAGAATTCAAAAGGAAAGTTCTCAAATCTGGTGGAGCAATAGTAGATTCAACAAACTGTATCAATGGGTTAGTACATTTTATTTATCATCAATAATAAGGTCTCATACCATAGAAAATACTGTTATTCGCCTCTCGCTAGTGTGATCCAGATTTGATTCCAGACTCACTGACATTTGTGATTTGAGTTGTTAGTATAGAATGTTTTGAAATTTCTTTTCCTTACATATCAATAACCTAAAGAAATTTGATAAAGAATTGATACTTTTTAGTCATCGATATAATATATTCTTATTATGCATGTTTTGGCTTTGAATTCAATTTCCTTAGTAACCAAGTTGATACTCAGAAAAATTTAAAATAAAATTGAAATTAATTATATACATTTAAGTCTTTCCTATTAAATTTATCTATATTGAACTCTAAAAATTATCCTAAAGGAATAATTCCTGGAATAATTGTTGGAAATCAATATTTGAACACATGTTGGTATAATTTTTCTTTCATCAGTTCTTCCTCAACTTTATGCTAATTAATATGAGTCTCCCAAACAAAGCCAAAGGTCGTCTTGTGAAATGAATATCTAAAAAAAACATGGTATATCATTTTCGTTCAAAGTTTCTATCTACAAAATTCTTTCGCCTTGTGCTTTTAATGTGTCATAAAGCAATTTACAGTATTTTATGTGTACCACATAATTAATGAAACGTGTTATCCAATATTTCTATTTCTCCATTTATTTTTCCATATAGCATGGAGTTGTAAGCGTATAGGGACATATGATGGGTTATGTATGATAGCTTACGTGTAGTGTTTTTGTGTGTTCAGGTCTCCTGTTCTGTCTACTAATACCAATATCAATGGCAACACTAATGGAAACCATCATTTGCTTAATGGGAAAGAAATGAGAAAAGATACAAAAGAAGAAAAACCCATTACAACAAGTGAAACTGAAAAAATGAAAAAGGCCAAACCAGATAAAGTAATATCAGGCAAGCCTGCTGCTAAAATGCAAAATGTATCAAACAAGAGACCGAGTAACTCTAGTGAAGAAGAACTGCATATTGTAAAAAAGAAAAAGAAAAAACCAGATGAAATCAGTACTGTTAAGCCTACTGGTTTTATTCCTATTGAGCCACTCCCTGCAGGGCTGGATGACACAGTCTTGGATAATAAGGACGTCAAGCTGAAGATCAAGTCTTTACCTCCTAAAGTATCTAAAAAATCTGATAAAGCAACTGATAAACTAATTGAAAGAATCAAAGAAAAAAAGAAAGACAAACATAATGATACTTCGGCTGCAGATAATTCAATTTCAAAGAATTCTACTAAAAGACGGAACAGTTCCAGCAGTAAGACCAAAGGAAAAACTTCAAAATCTCCTCCAGATACAAAATCAAAAGCAGCAAAATTGGAAGAAAAAAAGCTAGAGAAGATAACATTCCGCAGAGAATCTGGTGACAGCTGGAGCAGCAGTAGATCTAACTCTCCTGGGTTATACACTTCTGTATTAAGTAGTAAGATTGGTAGTAAGAATAATGCTTTAGGTACATTAATGGCAGAGCTGTCTGACCAAGATGATGATGATGATGATGATGACGATATAGATTTATCAACTCCTTTTCAAGCTGATTCATTGAAACAAAATCCAGACTCTGTTACAGTAGTGAATAATAATGTATTAACCAAGAAAGACAACTCCAAGCCTGTAAAAGATAAAAGCAAGACTAAGTCTAAAGAAACTCTATCTAAAAAGTCAGATATAAAAAATACACATAGCTTATCCAGTAAAAAAGACATCATGAAAAGCCCAGTGAAGACAAGCAAAACAGAACCTGTGAAAACAGCCCTCAGTAAGAATAGGTAAGGAAGCATACAAACCCATGACTGAGAGGGGTAATGACAGTAATGACAGTGACAAATGAAGATGGTGATGGTGAAGATAATGGTGATCATGAGGATGGTGGTCATGATTATGACAACCATAGTGGTGATGATGATGATAATGGTGGTGGTGATGATGATGGTGATAATGATTGATGTCATGATGATAGTCATAATGGTTGTGGTAGTGGACTTGATGATGATGGTGTTGATGATGATGATAATTGTGGTGGTGGTGGTGGTGGTGGTGGTGATGGTGATAATGATGGGGTTCATGATGATGATAGTCATAATGGTTGTGGTAGTGGTCTTGATGATGATGGTGTTGATGATAATGGTAGTGGTCATGATAACGATGGTTATGATAAAGATTGTGGTGATGGTCATGATAATTATGATGCTGGTGATGGTCATGATAATGATGGTCATGATGATTATGACGGTGGGGGTGATGATGGTGATGTTCATGATGATGATGGTCATGATGATTATGATGGTGGGGGTGATGATGGTGATGTTCATGGTCATGATGATTATGATGGTGGGGGTGATGATGGTGATGTTCATGATGATGATGTTCATGATGATGATGGTCATGATGATTATGAT